CAATGTTTTCCTTCTTATTGTCCTAATACAAAGCTAAAAGTCAAGTGGAGCCAATCGTGTACCTCAAAATGTGAGAATAAAGCAGATTTTTCCTGAGATAGTCATTTATTTGAGGCACAATTTCTAGAACTTAAATTATCTGTCTGTGTATTCCACTTTTTTCATTTGCATCATCAGATATACTCTGTACCATTCCATCTGTCATTCATTGTGACGTTCAATCAATATTTATTATACACTTAAAATTTGTCAGGCACTGAGCTAGCACTATAGATAATTCTCATAAATAAGACTGACATTGTTTCTACTTAAAGAGATTATCCTGGCTTTGAAAGTTAATCTTAGAAGGAATCATAGAGGTCATTTGCAGAGTCTACTGAGAAAATTCATTTTCTTTATGTCAAAATTTTAACTGACCCTCAAAGCCACTTTAGCATCATTTGATTTTGTTTATTCAGTATCCTTGTATAATGGGGAGAAATAAGATTTTATTTATTGAACAGACAACATAAAACATCTGAGAGACTGGAGGAAGGATATGAGATGGGCAGCTGTTTTCAGGCAGGTAAGCCTAGTGGCCTGCACTCACTATGATGTGCATCACACACAAGGTGACCCTGAGCCAGCGTGGTGCTGGTCATTCAGCCTGGGTGTCGAGCATAGGACCAGGGACTGAGAGGTTTGCCAGGAAAGGAAGAGCAAGTCAGGGATGAGCAAGAATCAGGATTAGGTGAAACCCAAATGTGAGGCAGAGTGAGAGGAACAAGATGGAAATATGAGCTAAGAGGCCCAAAGTTGGGTCTTTTCTGTCAACATTTCTTAGCCCACCCCTCTACTGCTGCACTCTTCAATATGGTTAATAATCCACTTTACAACCTATGACTCTGTTTTATATGTGCTTTGAAATTGTACTTTTCTTCACAGTGTTGCTTTTCTAGTTTTGAATATTTTAAATAACTGTCTTGCTGAGACTATGCACATTAAATATCCATAAGTTAATCATTTTCTGACTTTTAAATCTAAAAGACATACACACACACACACACACACAAACACGACACTTTTGACTTTTGACCTGTGTCTCTGTGTTTTTGTACATGTGTAAAACATGTCAGTATTCACATTTTAAATTCCCCTTGTGATTTTTAAAACATCTTGTATTATAATAAGAAAAGTTGCAGGTTTATTGCAGAAAATACTACAGGGCATTAAATAAAAGAAATTAAAGCCATGTCTACTTGGTGATAGTAAGGGATATGTAAATGGATATATGAGAACTGAGCAAAACTTCTGATATATTGAACATTTAACAAACTGAATTAGTATCTGTTGTTTTGCAGATTGGAATACCTCTTTTCCACTTAAATTCTATTTTCAGAAAAATTTGATGTCACTAAACATTTCTTAAAATGTGATTTTAATGATTTGATCTATGCCTATGATGAACACCTTTTTAACCAAAATCTTTTTTTCTTGACTCTCATTTCATTTTTTAAAAAAACAGAATTTAGAGGGCTCCAGATGTATCATTGCTGTTTTAAATTGCATTTCATTTATTTGTGAGTTTGACAGAATTTTCATAAGGCATGTCTGCCTGCCTCTCTTTTTGAATTGTAAGAGCTCTTTATATATTAAGGACATTAGACCACATGCTTGATTTAGTGCAGATATTTCTTCCAAGATTTTCAATGTACTTTTTAATCTTGTTTGACTGTAGGTTAGAGGATGAGGTTATCTTCTGTTGCTACTATTATAAAATGTATCTCTATCTGCAAATTAAGAAAGATTGCCCTTTTCTTTAAGAGTTTGTTTAAAGTCTTAAACTCTAATTTGTCTGGAAAAATCTTAATGTATGGAATAAAGATTAACATTAAAAAATTACTTTACTGATTGTCTCACTATAATTTATTGACTAAATCTCTTTCTCATACTTTTTTGTAAGTTCTTCTTTTTCTTAATAGTCTTACTTTCATTCTCTTTTTAAAATTGGTTATGTATATGATAATATTACATTCTTTGTAAGTGAGAAGGTTCATTTGGCAATTCAGACAAAAATTTTATTATAAAAGCTGTCATACTAAAATATACACTAAATTTTCTCAGTTTACATTATGTACTTTCAAAAGTGAATGATTAATACAAATCCTTATTTTTAATCTATTATTTGCTTAATGACAGGCCTTGTTATGGTTTGGAAGTAAAGTTTCCTCCAAAATCTTCTATGTGAGACAATGCAAGAAGGTTGAGAGGAGAAATGATTGGATTGTAGCCTTAACCTAATCAGTGAATTAATCCCTATTGGGATTAATTGTGTGGTGACTGGAGACAAGTAGGGAGTGGCTGGAGGAAGTGGCTCATTGGTGGCAGGGCTGTGGGGTATACATTTTGTATCTGGAGAGTGGTATCTGTCTGTTTCTCTCTTTTTGCTTCTTGATCATCATGTGAGCTGCTTCCCCCTGCCACAATCTTCTGCCATGATTTTCAGCCTCACCTCTAGCCCCAAGGAATGAAGCTGGTGGTCTATGAATGGAGACCTCTTTAACTGTGAGCCCTTAAATAAACTCTTCCTTCTGTACAATTGCGCTGGTTGAATTTTTTAGTCACAGCAGTCAAAAAGCAGACTAAAACACAAATTGGTACTGAGAAGTGGGGTTGTTACTGTGACTGTCCTGACCATGTGGTTTAAAATTTTTGGAGCTGTTTTGGAATTGGTGGAAGGAATTTTGAAAGTACTTAGCAGTACAAGTTGGAAATGCTTTAAGTTGTTGTAAGCGGAGCTTAATGGCTAATTCTGGTGGTAACTCAGAAGACCAGAATGCCACTAGGACTCTGGACAGTGAAAACAGGGCTCAAGAGGGTTTAGAGGAGAAGGAGGACTCTTGGAATTTGGAGTACAGGCTGTTCATATTATGCTCTGGCTGAGAAGTTGTCTGCATTTTGCCCCTATCCTAAGACTGATTTGAAAAGCGATGGATTTCTTAATCTGGTGGAAGACTAGGCAGCATAGCATCCAGAAAGTGGCCTAAATATTGTTGGTGGCTTTTAGCCAAGTTTATTGTGATAATCAGGAGCAGAAAGCAGAGTAGAAAGATTTGAAAAACTTGGACTTAAAAGGTGGGAGTGAAACTGGAGTTAAAGGAAATTGCAATTGTTAAAGACATTACCACCACTTAAGAAATGCTAAAGACTTTGCCCAGAGACAAAAAGAAAGAGGGCCTCAGGGCATCTCAGGAGGTTTCAGGAACCTAAGCTCAAGAGAGTAAAAGTGAAACTTCTCTGGAGAAGAGACCAGTGGAGAATCCTTATTGCACAAGGAGTCCTTGGAAGTTTTTTTCAAAGTGCCCAGCCACCCAGACATTCAGGGTCTGCTGCATCCAGGGTCCCTGGAGGTTTGGCTGTTGCTCAAGATGGGGGCAGACCTTGGTGTCAACCACGTGGTGCTGGTTCTGCAGGAATGCAGGATGCTGGAGTTAAGGTGTCCTGGAGGCTTCCACCAAGATTTCAAAGGAAGGCCTTGAAAGCCAGGCAATGTGTGGCAGAGTCGGAATCCCTGTGGGCACTCCCTGAGAAAGCAAGGTGTGGAGATTTGAGAGGGAAGCCAAAACTGCAGTAGAGACACCCAAGATTAAGAAATGCCAATAATGTGGGACATCCTCCTAGGAAAGCTGCAAGAATTGAGCAGAGACAAGTCAAGAGAGAGGCCAATTGGGCTACAACCAAGAAGGCCACAGGGTTGGAGCTACACAAGCCCTTTGGGGAGGGCATCATGCCATGTGCTCCAGATGTTGAACACAGTACTATAGGACTTGTTCAGTCTTACTTTGGTCTCATCCTTTTTTTTTCCTATGTCCCTATTTTTGTGAATGGAAATGTTTTCTCTGTACCTCTCTATATAGAATACTTGTAAATTGCTTTTAATTTTACAAGAGTTTACAAAGTGAGATTGCCTTGAGCTTCACAGAAGACTTTGAACTTGAACTTTGATCAATCTTGGAACTGTAGAAACTATGAGAACTCTTGTGAATGGACAAAGTGTATTTTGCAATTGTGAGATGGTTGTGAGCTTTTGGGGGTAGAACGGGTTGAATGTTATGTTTTGGATTTGAGATATCCCCTGAAAGCTCACATGTGAGAAAATGCAAAGTTTGGAAGAGAAATGATTGGGTTATAACTTTAACCTAATCGGTGAATTAATTCCTAATGGGATTAATTGTGTGATGACTGGAAGCAGGTGGGGTGTGGCTAGATGAAGTGGCTCATTGGTGGCAGGGCTGTGGGGTATATATTTTGTGTCTGGAGAGTGGAGTCTCTTTCTTTCTCTGCTTCTTGATCATCATGTGAGCTGCTTTCCTCTGCCATACTCTTCTGCCATGATGTTCAGCCTCACTTCTAGCCCCAAGGAATGGAGCTGGTGGTCTATGGATGGAGACCTCTGAAACTGTGAGCCCTTAAATAAGCTCTTCCTCCTCTACAATTGTGTTGGTTGGATCCTTTAGTCACAGCAGTGAAGAAACTTACTAAAATAGACGCTCTTGTCAAAATAGTGTACTAATTGCTTAGGGTAGACTGTGTCTTCAAAGTTGTCTTCAGATATTTTGTTTATCTAAAAGATTCCTGAGGGGGCTGGGGTTGTAGCTTAGTGGTAGAGTGCTTGCCTTGCACTGGGTTCGATTCTCAGGACCACATGAAAATAAATAAATAAATAAATAAATAAATAAATAAATAAATAAGATAAAGATATTGTGTCCATCTACAACTAAAATAAATAAATATATGATTTCTGAGTAGCTATTCACATACTCCAATTTTATCATGATATTATTTAAAAGGTTTATATTCATATCATATATGGAGACAATATTAATGAATTTTTCTTCTCAAAAATACTTCTGCAAATTACCAACTATCATGCTAAAGTTCAATATGTTTTGATAATTTTATAAATGAAAAAGAGATAACCTTTTCTTTTTTCCCTTTATGTTTTTTTTTTTTTATTTTAGATAGTCCATTTTTAATTCAAGGAAGCTGCTTCTACTGGGGAGTGGCAGGAGAAGTGAGAAAACCACATGGAAGACTCCCAGGATTTAAATGAACAATCAGTAAGTCTTAATTCAATCTCAATCACAAATAAAAATTTAAAAAAATTATTGTAAGACTATTCAAAATCATACTTAGAAGAAATATATTTTAAGCCGTAAGGCTTTTGTTTGTTTGTTAAATCTATTTTTTGTTTATTTTGTAATTTCCTTGCGACGCCATAAACATGTTTGGAGATGTACACTTTTTCTGCTTAATGATGCTGTCACATTTCAAAGTCTCCCTTGATTCTCCCCTTGGAAAGCCAGTACTTGAAAGGCTACAGTTGAAGTCATGCTGTGTATTTTCAATGGTCTAAATAATTGTATGCTTTTTTTCATTAGGTTTTATTCCTGATATACTGAATAGTTTTTATATTGTTGACTATCAGAAGTTCAATACTAGAAGGCATATTAGTAGCCTGCTAGTTGCTCATTTTATGAATGAAAACCATCATTCTCAAGGCCCTTCCTTATTTCACTAAGATTTATTGTAGGTTCAGGAATGCGCCAGTTTGGTGACAATCCTTTTAAGATTGATTTTCCAAAGGGAAAGATTTTGCATGGCCTTTCCTCCTGTCTCATTAGTAGTATCTTCAGGACACTAGCTCTTTAGTGTGTGTAACTAGAGATACTGGGAGAGTCACCATGGGGGACTGTCATCCCCAAGCTTTTCTGCATAGGGACTACTAGCAGTGTCTCAAAGAAGACGATGTGTGTTTATCAAGAGTGCTTCCTGCAGATTGATGATGAGCTCCATCAGGCAAAAGAGGATAGTATTGTGGTGTATAATAACATGGTTCTACAAAATGTATATGGAACATTTAATTTTAAAATAGAGAGCCAAGTATGTTTTGGTGCATCCCTGCTATTCTGAACTGGTTTAATATGTTTTTTAGCAGGTGTTGTATTTTAATTTTAATATAGACATGAGCATGGTCTAATTTCATTATATATTATATTGTTATTTATTTTGTATTGCATTGTTTTAGGAAAACTGTAGCAAACAATGCTATGGAACTACTACTGTGAAACGATGAAATCGGTCAAATGGTAGAGATGTTATTCTTGAACATTTCCTGTTTTAGGAAAGTAGACAGAAATGATTATTGGGAGGCAAGGGCTTCAAAGCAAGTTTTTTAAAAATTTTGGTTATTGAGTTAAATATTGATTGTATGGACTCTAATAAATGGATATTTGTCATTATGATTGCTGTCTGTCTCCCCCAAGTTTCTGGATATGTATGAGTCTTGCTAAAATCAGAGGTCTTCAAGTGTGACCACGTACCTGAAGGTGTTTAGTGAATGATGGAACATCATAGTTGTGATGCTTTGTAAGAGTGGAACTGTCAATCTGTACTTTGCTCTAATACACTGAGGGTCACTTAAGAGGGTCTGCGTATGGACGTGTGTACATGCGTGCATATTGGGTGACCGTTTGTCCCTGTTTTCCAAAGACTTGGGGGTTTCTGGAGATATGGAACTTACAATACTAAAGTAAGATGGGTGATTCGGCTTGTTATTCTAGGCTGTGTACATACTAAGAAAGTTGTTTGGTTTTAAGCAATTGGGGTTAAAGAGAATATGGTTTTATGTTTGTTATGAGTGTGAGGTATTACCTGAGGTTCTTCATATCACCTTTCATAAAATAATTCCCAGAACTTGCAAATCATATATTTAAAATATCTTTAGGATCCTTCCAGTGATATTTTAGGGTTGCCATTTTTTAAAGTATGTTTTTAAAAAGTTCCCACTTATTTTAATGTGCAGCCATATTTGAAAATCAACTATCTAGGGTAATTTTCCTAGCCTTTCAGCTTGACCCTATTTCCTGAATTTGGATTTAGAACATATATACCAACATATTCATATATAAGCATGCAAAGTATGCTTAAAACTGCCAAATGACTTTCCCATGTTGGCATGGCTGGTAAGTGGCAGAGTTGGGACTTCACATTGGTCTTCTGACTCCAAGTCCAAAGCTCTCTCCATAACATCAACATGCCTGATCATTTTAGGGTATCTTATTGTGGCATTCATCACTATAGAAATATTTTAAAAAGACCTAAAAACTCCTTAACATTGAAATGATTGCTATTTGAATGAATTATTTAAATGACCTTAAATTTTGTGGATACAGTGATGTCTCTGAGCTTTTCAAAAAATAATAGTATTTATTGAGACAGAAAATAAATGGGAGAAGAATTAAAATAAAATTCTTTGTATGAAAAGGAATCTAATTAGATCATAGTTATTTTAGTTTAAGCAGAATTTTTTCTCTGGGCATATACACAGCAGTATATGGTACGTGAATACTCCATCTAGCATTTTATACACACCTTCTTCAATCCATACTATATCCTTGAAATGAAGTTCTAAAAGCCACCATTTGGTAGCTGAGAAGAAACTATGACTTAGACAGTGTCAAGGTCAAACAGCTGTTAAGTACTCAAGATTAGAATTGAACACATTTTTTACCTGGCCCTAAAGCCTGTAAAGATTTTGCAAGATACAACACAGTATGGTAGTTAAGAGTTTGAGCTTAAAATCAGACATTGCCTGATGAATGCTTTATAACTACTGGGAAATTACTTACACTCTTTCTCCTCTTTAGAGTGGGGAGGATAATAAAACGAAATTACTCATAGTGCATACACTAGAATCACTGGATAAATGCTAGCTAGCTGCTATTGCAAATACTTGAGAGCATCAGTGATCTTTAATGAGCACTCATTCATTTTTGCATAGCTAACCACTCTTGGACATCCTTGACTGCAAAGTTATCGGTCCACAAACTCAGCAGATAAAAACTGAACTCACCAGCTCCCTTCTCTCCCAGTTTTCATCCCTTTCTTCTCTACTGCAATATCACCTATCTCCATGATCAGTATTGTTGTCAGCCATATTATGTTACATTGGAAAATGGGTAGCTATTCTCCATCCTCCATCTCAAAAGTTCATCCATTCTTAACTTTTAGTCTCTCCCAAAGCTGTTCTCTTTGCTCCAGCTCCCATATTTTGGATCTTTAGCTCTTGACCGTTAGCTCTTGACTGCCCTGTTCTGCTTTAATTTACTTCTAGAGTTGTCTTTATAAAACACATATGGCATTTCTTGTAGAAATAGAGAAAGCAATCATGAAATTCATATGGAAAAATAAAAGACCCAGAATAGCAAAAACAATGCTAAGCAGGAAGTGTGAATCAGGCGGTATAGCGATACCAGACTTCAAACTATACTACAGAGCAATAGTAACAAAAACAGCGTGGTACTGGTACCAAAACAGGCGGGTGGACCAATGGTACAGAATAGAGGACACAGAAACCAATCCACAAAACTACAACTATCTTATATTTGATAAAGGGTCTAAAAGCATGCAATGGAGGAAGGATAGCATCTTCAACAAATGGTGCTGGGAAAACTGGAAATCCATATGCAACAAAATGAAACTGAATCCCTTTCTCTCGCCATGCACAAAAGTGAATTCAAAATGGATCAAGGAGCTTGATATCAAATCAGAGACACGCCGTCTGATAGAAGAAAAAGTTGGCTACGATCTACATTCGGTGGGGTCGGGCTCCAAATTCCTCAATAGGACACCCATAGCACAAAAGTTAATAACTAGAACCAACAAATGGGACTTACTCAAACTAAAAAGTTTTTTCTCAGCAAAAGAAACAATAAGAGAGGTAAATAGGGAGCCTACACCCTGGGAACAAATCTTTACTCCTCACACTTCAGATAGAGCCCTAATATCCAGAGTATACAAAGAACTCAAAAAATTAGACAATAAGAGAACAAACAACCCAATCAACAAATGGGCCAAGGACCTGAACAGACACTTCTCAGAGGAGGACATACAGTCAATCAACAAGTACATGAAAAAATGCTCACCATCTCTAGCTGTCAGAGAAATGCAAATCAAAACCACCCTAAGATACCATCTCACTCCAGTAAGATTGGCAGCCATTATGAAGTCAAACAACAACAAGTGCTGGCGAGAATGTGGGGAAAAGGGTACACTTGTACATTGCTGGTGGGACTGCAGATTGGTGCAGCCAATTTGGAAAGCAGTATGGAGATTTCTTGGAAAGCTGGGAATGGAGCCACCATTTGACCCAGCTATTCCCCTTCTTGGTCTATTCCCTAAAGACCTAAAAAGAGCATGCTACAGGGACACTGCTACATCGATGTTCATAGCAGCACAATTCACAATAGCAAGACTGTGGAACCAACCTAGATGCCCTTCAATAGACGAATGGATAAAAAAAATGTGGCATTTATACACAATGGAGTATTACTCTGCATTAAAAAATGACAAAATCATAGAATTTGCAGGGAAATGGATGGCATTAGAGCAGATTATGCTAAGTGAAGCTAGCCAATCCCTAAAAAACAAATGCCAAATGTCTTCTTTGATATAAGGAGAGTAACTAAGATCAGAGTAGGGACGAAGAGCATGAGAAGAAGATTAACATTTAACAGGGATGAGTGGTGGGAGGGAAAGGGAGAGAGAAGGGAAATTGCATGGAAATGGAAGGAGACCCTCAGGGTTATACAGTGGAGGGGGTAGAGAGAGAGGAGGGGAGGGGAGGGGAGAGGTGGGGAGGGGGGAGGGTGGAGGATGGGAAAGGCAGCGGAGCACAACAGACACTAGTATGGCAATATGTAAATCAATGGATGTGTAACTGATGTGATTCTGCAATCTGTGTATGGGGTGAAGGTGGGAGTTCATAATCCACTTGAATCAAAGTGTGGAATATGATATGTCAAAAAATTTGTAATGTTTTGAACAACCAACAATAAAAAATAAAAATAAAAATAAAAATAAAAATATATCTATTATTTTGGAAAAAAAAATAAATAAAACACATATGTGATCACATCCCTACTCCTACTCATCTCGGGCCCATTTTGGCCTCAAGAGAGAGGGTCCTGTGTGTAGTCAAGCACACAGATGTAATGCTTCCTTATTTCCTCAGTCTTATTTTTGGCTTCTGTCAGTTTCCTGGGCCTCCTAGGTTCTC